GAGCGGTGTCGAACACAAATAAAACATCAACGCTTGCATTGTCTGAAGAAGTCTCCCCAAAAGCCCAAGCTGGAACGAAAGCACCGAAACCACAGGGTTTGGTACCCGCTCCTAATGGCAGCAGCATCCCTACGAGAAGGAACCGAAGGAGGTTCTCCTGTTGTTTCTGTGGGCGTTGAGAGGTCTCTGGACGCTGACTGCAGGCTCACACCCCACATGCACACGTACCGTCTGTCCCGGAGGCTGCAGCCAGGGAACAAAAGCCATTCAACCTAGAAATCATATGACATTTTTGCCAAGTTATGTAATGGCGTTCAGCAGATTTGGGCTGCGGCACATGATCATAAAGAAAAACAACCACCCATAGCTGAGGGTAACAAGAGGACTGTAAAAGGCTCACAGCAACTGCAGGCTGGCAAGTGCCTCCTGCGCAGGAGCATCAAATAATTTCCAGTTGCCATGGCATGTTTTGCCTCTCCGGCGCTCTTTCAGGAACTGCTGTGGATTCCTATGAGCTTTTATTAAGAAGGAGCTTTGTGGTTCACCGTCTGCACAGGTAGTAAACTACAGGGAAATTAATCCCAAATATATTTTTTAAAAAAGCAGAAAAGTCGATTTTTTCTTTAAGAACAACCTGGCATTTTTAAAGTTTATTTTGAAATTGAAATAAAGATGAATGGGGCCTACACTAAAACAGGGATTGCAGCTAACAGAACGTCTCTGTATGGAATACAACAAGGAAATTATTTCCTCAAGGTGGAAATTTATTGCTCCAAGGTGGAAGGCAGAGTGTTTTAAAGAGGTTTTTAATTAATAAAGGGAAACGTGCCAAGAATGTGTTGCATGTTTGAGCTCTCTGCATTAAATACTGCTAACCTGTTGAGGGCTAATTTAGACTTCAATTAATAAATTACAATGCACACCCGGGTATAAACAACCTCCCACGCCCTCAGCAGAATGCATTCAGACAGCCCTATCACACTTTAAACAAATTTTAAGCACAGAGGTGTTGTCTCTTGGGATGTCAAACAGCTCAGGGCACTTGTCCCTGCAGGTCAGGATGCAAAGGCAAGTATCACATGCCCCTGGAAATGGGAGTTTGCAGCATATTTATAACCGCTTTGGGACAGGAAGGGACTGTTAGAGCCTGAAGAATTTTTCTCTTTGCATATTTTCCCCCCGATAACGCCATCTAGGCACTCTCACCCAAAGTCAGGGTATGATCTCCCAGCGGCCGCAGTCCTTTAGGGGTTAAGTCTCATTGTCTTTCATCAAAACGTGGATCGGTATGGGCCAGACCTTCAAAGGCATTTAGGCTCTTAAAGTTGCAGACTTGTGCCTACTGGGATTTTTCAAAGCACCTTAGCATTTAAACGTCTCATGGGAGTAAGGTGCCAAATCTTATCCTACAGGTTTTCTTACTCTCGGTCCCCAACCAAGGCACCTTGTGGCAGTGAGTTCCACAAGTCGAACGAGCGTAGCACGAGTTTCAAGCAGACCGAAGACGCAGCAGACAAACCGACTCAAACTCTTTATCAGCTTTAAATATCTGCCCATTTTGCCATGCATCAATTTGTTCTTTTATAATCATCCAGACAAAACATGAGCATGATTCACCTTTCCTAAACCACTCGTTATTTCATATGCCTCTATATGTTGTCCCTTCTCCCAGCAACACAGAATAATTAACATATAAAAGGCTGGTGATAAGTGAAGTTTACGATCCAAACTAGAGGAACGCAGGCTCAGAAGTGAACATTATAAGAGCCCTGTGCCCATAAACATCCCACTTCTGGTGGGCTACCCAGCCAATTAATTACATGCAGAAATGCTGGCTGAGCATTCATTGCCCACATAAGCTCCTTGCTGAATAACAAACCTCCAGAGCTGTCAGGAGAAAACTAAGTAGGAGATGGTGTGTTGCAGAGAAAAATACACACAGACCGAGAATAGTACGTGACCTATATTTCACAGGGATTTTTTTTGTGTGTCTGCTCTGCTGTAGGAAAAAGAAAATCTCTCCACTCCATTGAGGAGAAGCAGAAACAGGGAGAAGAAACAATGGCCGAGCCACGGGCTTCTTAAAAAATTTAGAAACAATTAGATTTCTCCTTCCCTCCCAGGCTCCTGCAACGCTCAGGGCCAGCAGCACCCCCAGATGTCCAGGGCATACTGCAAGGCCTCCTCCGTAGCTGAGCTCCAGGGCTTTCAAGACGTTATTTGTATTAGCAAAGACCCAGCAAAAATTGCCATTGCTTGAAGGATGAACCCAACTTGCTATTTTTCCCCGACACCTTGGGGTACCCTCCCTGGCCAAGCCGGCCAGTGACGCCAGGTCGGCAGGGTTGCGGGTGGCTGAGGGGACCCCTCTCTCCTCCCTGCGAACACGCGGGCAGGCTTTGAGCCTGGGCGCGGAGCAGCTCCCTGCCTGAGCCCTCTTCACAGCTCTGCGGGTCCCGTCGCCGAAAGCCCCAGGAGACCCAGCTCTGCGCGCCAACGCTTTGCTGATGCCAGACGACACCCCAGAAATCGCCCGCTCTGGCAGAGACAGCAGAACCAGCAGGGGCCCTGATGCACGCCCAGCTTCGAGTTTTGCTGGATTTACTTATGCAAGGTCCTAACGTAACTTCAGCAGCAGAAATACCACCCCACGCCCCATCCCTTGCTAAAGCGTGCTGGCAGCACAGCGATGCTAGTGAAGGGGGCTGCAAATTATTAGGATCCCCAACAACAGGCAGTGCTGGTGGGGACTGAGAGGGGGCCCTCCCGCCACACTCTGCCACCCAAGCGCTGGGCACCCTGGCTGGCAGGACTCAACCACACTAGCCTAAAAAGACCAGAAAAGAAACTCTTGGCCCAAAAGGAAGGGAAAGTGCCACTGTGGCTTGACTGGAGAGCAATGCTTTACCCTCATCCCGTTGCTGTACTTGATGAGCTTGAGAATCCGGAGGGCCTGGAGACCTTTGGCCATTTCCCAGGAGTGGAAGTGCGTGGCGGCCCCCGTGGTGGAGGCGTACAGGAGGAACGCCATGAACAGGATGGCAGCGTCTAAGACGTTGTAGCCGTCCTTCCAGTAGGCAATGGGATCCACGTACAACTTCAGCAAAAACTCAGTGGTGTAGATGGAGAGAATGAGCGCATCTGCGAGCTGGAGAGACGAGGAGGTAAGCTTGGGAGATAACGCCTTGCTGGCCTGGGAAATGCCAATTCAACCAGTATAACCGCATCTATGGGGAACTGGGAGCTGAGCTTGCCCTGTCACACAGACCATCGCAGGACTGAGAAAATCACAGTGCAGAACAGACCTGCTGTCTAATGGTCCCACCAACCCCATGGGCCACCACGCCCCCAATTCTCCAGGGGGACTCCTGGGCCCCTGTTCCCACAGTGAACGTGGGCAGCGAGCCCCCAGAGCAGTGTTAACCTCAATAATAACTTCTAAAGCACTGTAAAACCTGAGGGAACTGCAGAATCCGAACCAGGGCACCGCACATGAAACAGCATCTACCACTCCCCAGCGGCGCCCCCGCGGGCCCAGCAGCCACGCCCTCGGCCAAACC